AATGTCCCAAATATTTCTATCTTACAGAGATTTAATGAAAATGTGAAAATAATCAATACATTTATGACTCAATGTCCAGAATTGATTGATTGTAATACAATCGTAAAATACCTTAATCCGTGTGTCCCCCCTGTGTGAATGCAGCACATTGGATCTCCTTTAATTTACTGACATGGAGTCTGTAGCTGTTGTTTGTGGCTTGTAAGATTTCTTCCTTCTCCATTGAAGGTTTTCGTGCAGCAGCCATAATTTACTTTTACCATCTAGGTCATTATTCGGCAAATTTTTTTGAGTAAAGTAATGTTTTGTAGTTTTTCAGTGTGAACACATTAACACCTGCTCAAAGTCAGAATGTAATAACGCATTGAGACGCAGCCCAAGTGCCACTAAGGAAAAGTAGGTGGGAAGATAATTGAGGCACTAACAGAGCAACATATAAAAGAGCTGTGTGAATGTGAATTGTAGCTTGAAGCACTTTGAGTGGTCGTTAAGACGAGAAAACTGTTATAAATGAAGTCCATTTACCGTTCAACATCCATTTAGGTTGTCATAGCCGTCAGGTGGAAAAACTGCAGAAATGAAAAAATGGATGTTAAAAAATGTCAATCGGCACATCGTGTCTTGTTCCCAGGACAACCACTACCGCCCAGACAGCAGCGACACCTGCCTGCTGTGCGACTGCTACCCGGTCGGTTCCTTCTCCAGAGCGTGCGACCGAGAGAGCGGCCAGTGCCAGTGTAAACCCGGCGTGATTGGACGCCAGTGTGACCGCTGCGACAACCCCTTTGCTGAGGTTTCTCCAAACGGCTGTGAAGGTCAGAATACATCAGATTAATGTCACATCACTGAAAAGCTTAATTTATAATCCTATTTTCATTATATCTATAAATATATATTAAAATAAGTTTCCATTTTTATCCTCATCATCTCGCTCTGTCTCTGTCCTCTCCTTCCTGCTCGTCTCGCAGTAATCTATGACAGCTGCCCTCAGGCGATCGAGGCTGGGATCTGGTGGCCCAGGACGAAGTTTGGTCTCCCTGCAGCGGTTCCCTGTCCCAAGGGAACGCTCGGTAAGATGGTTTTTCAGCAGCTCATCAAATTACCATATAATAATGGCAATATGTGAAACTTGCCTCAAGCCCTCTCTCAGCGGGAGTCGATCCCTCACCTCTCATGTGATAACTCCTCTCTCTCTCTCTGTCTCTCTCCTTCTCTCGCTCTCTCTCTCCTCCTTCCCAGGCACAGCCGTCCGACACTGTGATGAGCACAAGGGCTGGCTGCCTCCCAATCTCTTCAATTGCACCTCTGTTACCTTCAGCAGGCTGAAAACTCTGGTGTGTAGCTCCTCTCTCTGCCAGGTCTAATCAGAGCCCAGCAATATGCACGAGATCCCTCTGACTCAGGAAGAGCTTAGTGCTGAAGTCAGCATGATGACATGTTCACAACAATATTAACATTCTGATGTTTCCCAGGTGTAATGTTATCATCACATTTTAGCATGTTGTCATGAGATTATTTGCTAATTAGCCCAAACAGAAAGTACAGCTGAGGCTTTATTATACATATTATTAGCTTTTCAGATACTAACTAGAATGGCACTAAGTACAGTGTATACATCAACAGTCGCCTTAATGAATCCACATCTAAATTCACCAGATACTCATTTTCATTTGGATCTGCACCAAATTGCACCCACTCATAAATACCAGTCTCCTAACCATGTGTTTCCATCCTCCTGCTCCAGTCTGAGAAGTTTTCCCGTAACGCTTCACTCCTGGATTCCGGACATGTTCAGCAGACAGCAGCCATGTTAGCCAACGCCACCCTGCACACCGAGAAATACTACGGCAGCGATGTGAAAGTGGCGTATCGGCTCACGCAGAGTCTGCTGCAGCATGAGAGCAGCCAGCAGGGCTTCAACCTCACAGCCACACAGGACGTCCACTTCACTGAGGTGAACGACCACACAGAGCAGCAGCAGTTTTCAGCATGAAAGTAAATAAAATGAGTAGAATGTTGCAGTAAACACAGTGGTGTGCAAACAGAGGGAGAGTCCTGCCTGATGGGACATCACAGCCGTTCACGCTGTATCTGCAGGGAATACCTCACACTTCATTTCACTCTCTGCTGTGACATCCTGTCACACTGAACTCTTGCTGTTTTCTCTCAGAATCTGGTTCGTGTGGGCAGTGCCATCCTGTCTCCAGACACACGGCCGCACTGGGAGCTGATCCAGCACTCGGAGGGAGGCACGGCGGCGCTGCTGCGACACTACGAGGAATACGCAAACACACTGGCACAGAACATGAGGAAGACGTACCTCAGCCCCTTCACCATCGTCACGCCACATATTGGTGAGTGTTTTATCAGGGAACAGGATGTGTGACATGTCAACAACCTCTAATGCAAAAATCATTTCTTATGCGATTCATTAGTCCATGATGAAGCGAGACTAAACCTTCTTATCTTTATACAAATTTGAATAAGGGAAAAGACCTGACTAGAAATTATCTTGTTAATTAGTCCTTCTGTTCAGATTTTCACAAAAGGAAAGGTCCATCAACCATCATGTTTGAAGAGTTAGTCTTAATAAGTGAATAATCAGAAGACTTTTTTTGGCAAGTGGTTAAAAATTGGTTTTGGACTCACAACCTCAGTTTTTTTTTAAATTAGGGTCTTTCCTTGTCAAGGTCACAGTTTCTGTTCTAACACCACTGTGTTGTTGTTCTCAGTCATCTCTGTCGACCGTCTCAAGAAGATGAATTTCGCTGGTGCCAAACTCCCACGGTATCAGACCCTGAGGGGCCCTCGACCTGCAGACCTGGAGACGGCCGTCACGCTGCCCGATTCCGTCTTCCAACCACCTGTGGACACCAAGGGTCACAGACACTTGGACATCTTCCCAGAATCCTCGCTGAGGAACCGCTCAGCCAACAGGAAGAAACGCCACCCTGATGAAAGCCAGCAGGACGCCATCGCCAGCGTGATCATCTTCCACAGCCTGGCCGCGCTGTTACCAGAGAGCTACGATCCCGACAAGAGGAGCCTGCGGTGAGGATGATGAACAACACCTAAACATTAAACACCGTCAATACACGTGTTTAACACATTAAACACGTGTTTTATTTATTCCTCTTTATGGTCCGTTTTGAATTTGTTGAACAGTGATATATATCTTAAACACTCAACTACCATGATGCTTCAAGCATTTAAATGTAATGCTTTAATTAAAAGTTTTCTTCACATTCTTCCACAATATCCAAATGTCAAACAATGTAATGTCTCAAGACACTAGTGAATAATTACGTTGACTTTAAATTAGTCTAGTTTGTTTTAATTAATATTTTGCATTAATCTGGATTTAAAATGAATTGTCCAGACAAGATGAAAGCTGCAGGGTGATTTTCAAAGCTTATTTCTTGTGGTAAATGAAATGAAAAGTAAAGTACCACATTAACTTCCCTACTTGTAA